GCTGCTGAACTCACGGCCTCTGGGAAGCAGATAGAAGGGGAGGAGTCAGAGAGGAAAAGGCTTGGAATCAGATAGGCCCCAGGGCCACGCCTCCTTGACCCACTTCCTGCAACTGAGCCCCACCTCCTAATAGCCCACTGAGCTATGAACTCATCAATAGGTTAATCCATGGATGAGGTGAGTCCCCTCACAATCTGATCACCTTTCCTGGAGTCTCTTAATCCAGCCAAGTTGACGAGATTAACCAGTATACCATCTCTAGACACAGTGGAGACAGGCAACTTTAAAATGAAAATTTTTCCTGTTAACAACCTAAACAAGGAAGTACGTTTAAAGCTTGACCTTACTTAGTGTCCTTTATGATGTTGTCCAGGAAGAAAGGGTTTCAATAAAGAGAAATGATCCATATTGTCAGAGGATCCTCAGAGCTCTGCCGAAAACTAGAACTACAAGGAAGTCACTGGCAAGGATAGGATCATGGAGGGCCATTTAAGCAGAAGTTGGATCACTGTGGGTTAAGAAGTGAATGGATGAGAAGGACAAAATCAGAGAGAGTAGGTTACCTCCTTTAAAAGGCTCAACTCTTTAAGAAAGAGAAGAAAGGTAGCTGTTGAAGGACTGGGAGAGGTTGTTCTTTGGCTGATTTTCCTTCTGTAAGGATGGAGACAGTGGTTTAATGTGCTGGAGAGCAGTGGGATCCATAGCACAAACAGGCTTTTGCTTTATTTTGTTTGCTTCCCTCCTCTATTCCTTCCTCCTCCCCTTACTCCTTCTGTTTTTGGTCTGCTTTGTGCTTTTTGTTATCGTTGTTGCCACTGAAGAGAAGCATGATAGGTCAGGAGTGTCCTGCAGGTGAGCTTGGGCCAGGAAAGCAAGGAACTCAGGCCAGGCCACATATGGGCCTCTTCGTCCTCCCCGAAGTGGGAGGCTAGGTCCTCTCTTGAGCTCGGTGAAGGGCAGGTGAGGTCGGGAGGCCTGAGACTGGTCAGGGTTTGATGGGACTGTTGTGGAAATGGGAGAAGACATTGGCTGGAATATGGAGAAAGTGTGGCGGGGTGCTGTGAGGGTTTTAATGAGGAAGCAGACCATCAGTTTACAGATGCAGAGAGGAGGAGGAGGTAGTTGGATTATTCTAAAGATTTTGAAGGTGGAGGAGACAGAAGGGAAAGTGTTAATGACAAGTTCTTACTTAAACACCTTTAGAGACTTTACAAAGGTCGAAAACTTAGACTCCAACCTTACCCTGACATGCATCCCCTCCGTAACTTGGCTCGTGTCCACTTTGCTGGCTTATCTTATCTTCCTCCTCCCTGAACCAACCCTATTCATGCCACCCAGGAGAGCCATCCTGTGCTCAGTTACTCTAAACTGTTGGATTTCCAACTTCTGAACTTTTGCTTCCTTCTGATTAGAACACCTGTCTAATCATCAGTGGTTAGAGCAAATTTCCGTGTTCCCCAAAAGCCTCCTCCCCCACCTTACCCAGGCAGAATCGATCTCTTGTTCTCCATCAGACTGAAACTTTCCTTCACATTTCTCTATCCTTCTCTACAGAGAACTTGTCTCACCTAGTAGCAACTCAGAAGCAGCAAACCCTCGGGCATAAACAAGTGGTTATTGTGACCAACTGGAGATTCCCTCCCAGTACCTGGGATTGAACTAGCAGGATGCCAGAGACATAGGACCCTCTCGATTTTGGTGCAGAGCTAATGCCTTCTAAACTGCCTGATTGCTTTCCATGAAAGCCCCAGCTGAACATCTTGCAGCTGAGTTCCTGGCAGGATACCAGTACCTTAGCATGAATCCAATTTCAGTTAAGTTACCCTGAGGCAGTTTCTGTTCCTAGCAGTCAACTGTTCCTTTGAACCAGAGGACTCTGCTCCCACAGTATTTCTAGCATGCCTGTTAGGGCAGTGACTGTCTGTCTCATTAGAGTTCCGGTGGTGTGTATCTGCTTCCCCCTGGCTGGCACCTGAGAGGGCAGGGACTGTGTCCTATTCATTCAGTACCCCGGGAGCCCGGTATGCTTGGGTGCTGAAAAATAGTTTATGCTCTTACAATTCACAAAATGATTTGATGTATCATTTTTAATAAATACTCTAAACCTCTCTTATTTTCCTCCTATTTTGCTATACTTGCATTATCTATATAATTTTTATCAAATTGGCTTTCACGTACTCACAAACTCCCTCCATTCACACGCTTGTTTTCTCCTCTTATTTGGTAGTCACCAGGGGGGATTCCAGGTTGGGCAGCATCAGAGGCCCACGCCTCTTTCTAGCTGATGAGACTGCTTTACATGAAACTCATCTTTCAGTATTCAGTATATCCTTTGGAACAGATCTTTCTCATGAAGGCTGTTGGGGCAGCTTAATCTTAATGATGTAATTTAAAACACATTAAAAGAAGTACAACTCCTTCCTTCAAAAACCTATACAGAATCATAAACTTTCAGAGCCAATTGTAGCAGTTCTCAGACTTTTGAGTTCCTATGAACCAGCATAGATATTTTAAAAGGGAGGCAGGTGCTAAATTTATATTCTTCTTTCAAAGAATGGTATTAGGAACACTAAGCTGAGGCAAGAGGATAGCAAGTTCCAGCCCAGCCTGGACGACTTAGTGACTTAGTGTGACCCTGTCTCAAAATAAAATGGGCTGAGGATGTAGCTCAGCATGAAAGCCCTGGGTCCAATCCCCAGGACCCCCAAAACAACAACAACAAAATCATTAAGCTTCTATTAACTGTATCATTTCATTTAAAAAGTTAACACCAAAATTATCATGAGCATTACCAATTTAAGTATCAAATTCATTTTACTTTATAAAAACGCATGCATTTTAATTTTCAAATTATCTTTAAAATAGGTAGATATTTTTAAATAATAAAGTACTTAACACTGTGCCTGGCATATGTTAATTCTCTATTACTATTAGTGTTTTGGTTTTTTTTAGTACAGGGGAATATATTTTTCTTCTATCTTTCCAAAAGGCTAAGTTCCCTCCTGAATTTGAGTAGACCCCTTAAGGCACAGTTGTGTCCAAACCACAGAATGCAACCCTGGACAGCTATTAATTTGGCACCACAAGGTCACAAATGCTTAACATTATTGTATAAGTTTTAGTTACATTTTTCATGACTCAGTTGTGTGGTGCTAAAGAATGCTATGTAGCAGAGGGTGCAGGGCCTGCTAACTCCACCTCCTGCACCCCCGGCCGAGTCAACTCAGAACTCGCATGTGTCAGGTGTTCTCACTTGTGCAACTTGCGCAGTGAAACACAGGTGTCACCGATCATATGACAGCATTTCAACCCAAAACAAGTGTTTGTTGTGATTAAGCGGACACATAAGTTTTCTTTAATTATTAAAATGGGCCTGTGTTTTTTCATAAAATAATTTATTTTTGGTACCATGGATTGAACTCAGGACCTTGCACTTGCGAGGCAGGTGCCGAACCACTGACCTAAATCCCTGGCCCTTCATAAAATGATTTAATAAAGTTAAAAGATTTTGAGCAGCTGTGGCCTAGAAAGTACAAAAATGTGTCAAATAGTTTTTACTTGTGAGTTGTTATAATTACATATACAACATCACTAAGACTATGAAAATAAGTGCCTGCTTATTTATTAATTTTTGGAATTACAGAGTTGCCCTCAGACATTGAACTCAAAGAAAACTGATCATGTCTCTTTACAGACTTTTAAAGGCCAGTTTTCCCAGAGAAAAATATCACGTTTCACAATCGAGCCTTATTCACATCATCTCTTGGGGCAGTATGTACACTGGTGAACAACTATTTTTAAAGCTGAATCATATGAAGAATAAGACATCAACAATTTCTGATAAGCACCTTGAGAACTCATTAAGAATAGCAACCACTTCCATTGAACCAGACATAGATGCATTATTTTCATAAAAACAAGGTCAAATTTTACTAGTTTTATGTTTATGTTGCTCTTTTTGTAATGTTGTAATAAGAATACGTAAAAATAAATGTTACTTTATAGCTTAACTACCGTATATTATATATTTTATATATACCTAAGACAATTTCTCTTCACTGAGGCCCAGGCAAGTAAAAAGGTTAAACATCTGTGCCCTCAGGGGAGAAGTTTTGCTGGGGAACTGAATGACTGAATAATACATTAAGACGATTTGGAGTGTTTGAGCCTGGTTCCTCAGCAGATACCTGTGTTACGGCTTCTTGGTAACAGAACCATTCTGTTCTTAGACCTGGGAATGAAATCATACTGATTGCAACACTCTGTAGCTGCCCCAGCTAGATCAGAACTGTTGTTGTTCTAGAATCACCAGAGTCAAGAGAATCCTTGACTTGAAGATTTTAAGGGCTAGAGAGGAGCCCTGTCCTGGTGTCTCAGGGCCAGGCCAAATCAGCCTAACTGTTAATATGAAATTTGACCTCTGTAGGACCAGAAGTGTTGTAGTGTCCATGTGGTTGGAGGGACACAAGCGTTTATGATGCAACAACTAAGTAGAGGATGCAAGAAATGGCATTATTGCTAGGCAACTTGGCTCATTAACTCTTACGGCTTTGGTCAAGGCGCTACCCTGTGCAAACTAGCCCTCCCCCCTCTTCCCTGACACCCGGGATGGTTGATTTTGATTGTCAACTTGATTGGCTTGAAAGCACCTAGGAGATCAGTAAAGCACTCTTTTGGATGGGTCACAGGATGCGATCTTGAGGACTGTGTCTGGTCCCTGCCCCCTTCAACTCCTGCTCTCTTCCTGCTTCCCAACTGCCAGGAGTTGAGCAGCTTTCCTCCGCCACACCACTGAAACCTATGAAACTGAGCCAAATAAACCCTTTCTCCTTTAACTTGTGTATGTCAGATATTTTGTCCCAGCAGTGAAGTGATGAACACTCCCTCCCGTTCTCCCTTACAAGCTTAGCAGTCCTAGAGTAGTGGCCAAGAGCTTAAGTTTTGTGCTAATTCATTTCATCCATCATACCCCTCCCAGCTCATTTAAACTTCTCATTTACATTTTGAATATCCGCTTTGTAGGGAAGTTAGTCCGTACTTTACACCCTTTGCCTGTGTCCCTCCTTCCCAGGGCCACCCTGCGCCGGCGGTCTTTGAGGCAGTCACGTCTCTTTGGTCGGCTTGGCAATGTCCCAACAGCCTGCTCAGGTCCTCTGCGCAGGGAAAGCCGCGGCCGCCGGCCCAGCTCTCAGGGAGGCTGAGAGGAAGAACCTCACTGCAGGAAGAAGAGGCTGCTGCAGAGGTAACAGCGGGGACCACGGCCAGCGCAGGGGGATGAGCGCGTCCGGAGATAACGGGCGGACTGCGCCAAGCCCTCTCGGCTGGACCTCCAGCGCTCCGACTCGGGCCTCAGTTATCGTCCAGGTCCCCCAGCACGGCTCCAAAAGTGACAGCCACGTGGATCCCCACGCGCGCGAGGCGGGGGATGGAAGGTTGGAGGGGTGCGGGGCTGGCAGAGCGCCCTAGAGGGTTAACCGGGGCCCGAGTCCGTGCCCGAGCGCCGGCTGCCGGGCGAAGCTGCCGGGAGCGAGCACGCGCTGACGTCCGCTTCGCTCGCCCAATGAGAGCAGGCCTGGAGGAGGCGCCGTTCCCGCCCTCTCCGCCCCCGCCGCCGCCACACAGGTTGCCCCCGGGAGCGTCTGAGGGGGCGCGGGCCGCCGCAGGCTCAGGCTGGGCAGCGCGCCGACCCGAGTCGCCGTTCGAGGCCCAGGCAGCCACTCACCCCGACCCCACCGCCTGATGTCCTCAAGATGGAGGCAGCGGGGGCGGCTGCGTAAAGAAAGCGGAGCTGTGGGCGCGGGGGCCCCGGCGGCCCGGGCGGCGGCAGTGGCGGGATGGGGCTGCTGCTCATGATCCTGGCATCGGCCGTGCTGGGCTCCTTCCTCACGCTCCTCGCCCAGTTCCTGCTGCTGTACCGCAGGCAGCCCGAGCCGCCGGACGAGGCAGCGCGCGCTGGCGACGGCTTCCGGTACATCAAGCCGGTGCCCGGCCTGTCCCTCAGGGAGTACCTCTATGGCGGCGGCGGGGCTGAGGAGTCCGCCGGAGGGTCGGCGGAGGGCGGCGCGACCCCGACCTCGGCTCCCGAGACCCCCGCCCCCCCGACGCGGGAGACCTGCTACTTCCTCAACGCCACCATCCTGTTCCTGTTCCGGGAGCTGCGGGACACCGCGCTGACCCGCCGCTGGGTCACCAAGAAGATCAAGGTGGAGTTCGAGGAGCTGCTGCAGACCAAGACGGCCGGGCGCCTGCTGGAGGGGCTGAGCCTGCGGGACGTGTTCCTGGGCGACACGGTGCCCTTCATCAAGACCATCCGCCTCGTCCGGCCCGTTGTGGCCTCGGCCACCGGGGAGCCCGACGGTCCGGAGGGAGAGACTCTGCCCGCCACCTGCCCGGAGGAGCTGGCCTTCGAGGCAGAGGTGGAGTACAACGGAGGCTTCCACCTGGCCATCGACGTGGACTTAGTCTTCGGCAAGTCTGCCTACCTGTTCGTCAAGCTGTCCCGAGTGGTGGGGAGGCTGCGCTTCGTCTTCACCCGCGTGCCCTTCACCCACTGGTTCTTCTCCTTCGTGGAGGACCCGCTGATTGACTTCGAGGTGCGCTCCCAGTTTGAAGGGCGGCCCATGCCCCAGCTCACCTCCATCATCGTCAACCAGCTCAAGAAAGTCATCAAGCGCAAGCACACCCTGCCCAGTTACAAGATCAGGTGAGAGGGAGGCCGGGCGATGGAGGGGGTCCACAGGGCCGGGGGCCCACCTGCTGGTAACTCAGGCCTGGGCGGCCCTGTGCTGGCCTTCGGTAGGAAGAGCAAGGGCTTATTTCTATCCCTAACCTTTGTTTCCTACCCTGGACAGAGCATTAGGTAAAGGAAGGCAAACAGTGGACACTTTTCTTTGCTTCCCGTCGGCACTGAGGTGAGCTAGAAACCTTTGCGTGTGCTCCTGGGCACTGAAGTGTGGTTACCTGGGTAGAATCGGCTCCTAAGAAGCATATTGATAACGGAAGGGAGGCCCCTCCTCATCCTCCGCAATCGCTTCTTCCGAGTCACTTCTGGGACTGTTAAGCTTGTCCTAGGTTGTGGTTGCTGCATGCAGGGTGGCAGCCGTGTCGCTGACTGCAGCCTCACCTGGGCCACGTTGAGAAATTGTTACTGGAGACAGTGGTGTGAAGAATGCCCTCATAGTCCGGGTCTGTGCTGTTTTGCCATAGCGGGCCCTTTTTTTAACGCTGGGGCAACTTTCGGGCCAGAGGTAATAGTAGTTATTGCAAAGCAGTACTTTTTGCAGCGAATTGGCCAGGCGTTGGGGCCTGCACATAGTATACTTTTCTGCACATTTTGAGTTGTCATCTGCCCCTTTTGATGTAGTTTCTGTAGCATAGATAACAGACTTTGTCCATCAAGCGTCTACTCTCTATGACTAAGTTTCTTACCCAGTACCTGAAGTCACCCTGCAGATGGTATTTAATGGCAAATAGTAATTTTAATTTTTTAATGCCCTCCTTCATCTGATGGCTTAATTTTACATATTTTTAATGTATGAGTTTTCTTTTATTATCAGAAGAAATAGAAAAGGAAGTTTTGTAGGGCTAGAGGCTTCATCCACCTTGGTCTGGGAAATCTTGTAGAATAGAAAGGGTTGTACATGATTGTTTCTTTTAAAACAGCTAAATTTTAAATTTCTCTTTCTATCTTCTTTTAATTTTGTGTAGCTCACAAAATGTTTGAGCCCTATGGATGTTATCCTTTACTATGTTTATGTCCGTCTTGTATTAGTCTTTTCGTGGACATTAAATATTTCTCAGTCACTACTTTTTACCACAATCTCAAGCAAGATAATCCAGAAAGATTGAGAATTTGGAATGAATAATCGATTTATATGTGTGCCAGATGTACCTTACTAAATATGTTTTCTTTAGGCTAACAGCAGAGTGACAGCTTAAAACTATTGAGCGGCAGGGGAACTAATATGACAATATTCCTATAGATTTCTAGAGGATGGTGAACTGGGTTTGCTTTATGGTTCTGTGATGTAGTGCATACTTTTTGAAATGTACTTTCTTAAGGCTCTAGAATATGAGTGACTAAATTATAAATTAATTCTTGTGTTTAAGAGGTGAGATGTTTATTTATAGCAGTGTATTGCTAAGAAAGTCATGAGAAAAAGTTGTTACAGATTTTAATAATCTACCCCAACTTCAATTCTGATGTTTTTCTGGGTAGCTTTCAAGTAATAAAATTTAACTAGGTTATTATTTGGGGGTTATTTTCAGAATAGTCAGTGGCAGTGAGGTTGCATATCATTTTGAGTTTTTCTTTTTAATGTAGACTTGGAATTCAGTTATATCTGAAAGATTTTATGAATTAGGATGCCATTGAGAAGTTTATACTTTGAATAAATCTGTAACATCACCATTTATTTAAAGTATGGCAAAATTGCTTTTCACTTACCATGTTGGAAGGGATTTTGAAGAACATGCAGCATGTTTGATTGTTGTATTGACTTCTAAATCTTAAGCATTAAAGGACGACCTCCAAAAATGTACACATCTGTGCTCTTTATATTAGAGGGCATCTCACTGGTCAGTCAGTAAAATACTGCACTGAACATGTCACTCAGCCTGCTAAATGCTTATCTCTAGGTAGGACTTTGATACTAAACAGAAATAGACTACCTCAGCCCTCATGGAGCTTAATGTCTAGTGAAAACTGAATTACTCTTAAGAAGATTTACACTATAGTAGGGTTGATGGAGTAGAAGTAACAAGGAAGCTGAATTTTGCTTAGTAAAAGAAAAACAGAAGTGTGGGAATGAAAAAACCTGTCTCAGGAAGTGACTTTTCTTGTCTGTGTAGCTGTTCTGCCAGAAGTGTTTTAAACTGGTGATTCAGTTTTCAGATAAGAGAATGAATTACAGCCAATCAAAGATATATCAGAATTCTCAGAATGAGAATTAAGATAGATGGTGTCCATTCCATTTTATAGATGGAGTGGAAGTCAGGTAGTTAAATAACTTGCTTAAAAGTCACACAGGTGTCAAGTGGTGAAACTCAGCTCTAATAAAGTCAGGCTGCCTTAAAAAAAAAATTACACTGCATTGTTCGTAAGAGTTTTTTCTTAAATTGTTTCATCAATGTAATATGTGTAAGTGCCTGTAAAGCTGTTTTTCTTTTCTTAAATCAGAAATTTCGAGAGCATGCTTTTAAAGTTAAATCAGGTTAAATCTTTGAGTACTGCTCCACATAGAATTTTTTTTTAATCCAACAGATTTTGTTTCCACATAGAAGGTCTTGCAAGTTTATCCTAAACGGCCGTCTAATCTACTTAGTAGAGCTAAAGCAGTAAAGAAAATTGTATTGAATCTTGAGTCCTTTGGCACTTTGAAACATTACATAACAAATATATCTTACCAGTTAACATTGTTGTCACTACTTCTTCCTTTATTTTTCTTTTCATGTTGCTAAAGTGAAGTGGACTATCAGGGACTGCAGATTCCTGATATTTCAGGTAGAGATACTAAGTAACTTAAGTGGTTGCTTCTTAAAGACACTTAATTTTACACAGTTGAACACTGGGAAGCATTATCTTTTTTAAAAAAATGAATAAATAAATAATAAACAAAAATGGATATATGAAACATCTTTTTAAAAATTGTAATATGTAGAAAATGTTTGCTAATTTATTGAAGTTAGAAATTTGATTCAACCATCTGTTAATTGTTCTGTTTTTCTTAAAACATTTGCTTTAAAATAGTATGTCAAAGTATTTTTTAAAATCTACCCTCAAATTCATCTTCAAGGGAGAAAAAAATACCACTGATGTTCTTTTCTTATTTAATTTTTATTAGTACCTGTTTACAGTATGTAATGATTATGTTCATCGTGGGGAGTTGGTACATGTACATAACATTCTTTTTATGTCCTCTTCTCCCTTCCCTCCATCATTTGATCCTCTTCACATTTGCAAAAGATTATCTCCCTGTTTCCTACTATCTTTTATTTTTGCTTTTATTCATACATTGGGTTTCTCATATAAGAGAAACCAGAAGCTAGTGAAATTTGTGTGTGATTCATTTGACTTAACATGGTCTCAAGGTGCATCCATTTTCTTACGCATAACTCAAGTTTATCCTTCTTTATGTCAGAATAATACTCCATTGAGCGTAAATACCACATTTTCTTTATCCATTCATCTGTTGATGGATGTAGGCTGCTTCCAAGATTTATCTATTATGAGTTGTGCTGCCAAAAACATGGGTATGCATGTATCACTGCTATATGATTGATGTCTTGGGAAATACGTAGAAGGAGTATAACTGGGTCAAATGGAATTTCTTTCTTTTTTTTTGAAGCAGAACATTTATTGATATATTTGAGATATACATAATGATAAAATAACATTCAACATACGGAATTTGTACCTGTACATGTTATATCTTGCTTCTTTTTTTCCCCATTCCCCTCCCCTCCCTTCAACCCTTCTTCCCCTCCTTATTTACAAAAGCTTTGTTTCCCCTTTTTCCTTTTATTCACTTTGTTTTTCTTGTCCTTTCTTTCCTTTTCCC